AATTATATTTTATTATATTGGATTATATTTATATTATAGTTAATTTATATTTCAATCTATTTTTTTATTTTAATATATTTATGTTTTATTCTATTTTTGTTTTGCTCTATTATATTTTATTATATTTATATTTTATTCTATTTTGTTTTGCTTTAATACATTATATTATATTATTTTAATTTATATTATATTATATTTTGTTTTATTTTATTATATTATATTACATTTATATTTTATTCTATTTTGTTTTATTTTATTTTATTTTATTTTATTTTATTTTATTTTATTTTATTTACTGTCAACACTTTCAAAAAATGTGTTAAATATAACAGGAGTTTATCACAATTTTGGAGCCATGACTGAACAATCATCTACAGCGAATATTGCTGTACACACACACACACACACACACACACACACACACAAATACACACACTCTTTACAGATGCATGCACACACAAACAGATGCATGTGTATCTGCTCTAGCACAGTTATGTTAAATTCTGTGTGTGTATGTGTGCGCGTGTTTGTGTGTGTGTTGAATATTTGATTTGGCCTTTTGTGTTTCAGGCCCCCAAGACCAGGAACCCCTGAGACGCAGAGGAAGAGCAGCACACAGACCTCCAGCCCGGCCCTGCAGGGACAGATCAAACAAGGTGACCACTACACACACACTGAAACACACACTGCACAGGCTGAAAAATGGAGGAACCAGACCTTTACACACATACACTCTTTCTCCTTCAAACACACACACTCTCAGCCTCAAGCTCACTCTCTACTTTAAACAAACACACACACACACACACACACACACACACACACACACACACACACACACACTGAAGCTGAATTATTTACTTATACTTACTCTCACACACACAAACACTCTTTCTGTCTCTCTCATACACACACTATCTCTCAACCAAACACACACTCAGACTCAAACACGCATATATGCGCATATTCAGCCTCATACACACTCTCTACCTTAAACACACACACACACATTCAGCCTCATATACACTCTCTACCTTAAACACACACACACATTCAGCCTCATACACACTCTCTACTTTAAACACGCACGCACGCACGCATGCACACACACACACACATTCAGCCTCAAAACACACTCTACCTTCAACACACACACACACACACACACACAGACACACACACACACACACACACACACACACACATTCAGCCTCATACACACTCTCTACTTTAAACACGCACACACGCATGCACACACACATTCACCCTCAAAACACATTCTACCTTCAACACGCACACACACACACACACACACACACACACACACACACACACACACATTCAGCCTCAAAACACACTCTACCTTCAACACGCACGCACGCACACACACACACACACACACACACACACACACACACACACACACACACATACACACACACACACACACACACACACACACACACACACACACATTCAGCCTCAAAACACACTCTACCTTCAACACACACACACACACACACACACACGCACGCACATTCAGCCTCAAAACACACTCTACCTTCAACACACACACACACACACGCACGCACGCACATTCAGCCTCAAAACACACTCTACCTTCAACACGCACACACACATTCAGCCTCAAAACACACTACCTTCAACACACACACACGCACACACATTCAGCCTCAGAACACAATAACTTCAACACATGCACACACACACACACGCACATTCAGCCTCAAAACACACTCTATCTTCAATGCACACATACACACACACACACACACACACAATTACATTTAGCTTCAAAACACACTCTACCTTCAACACACCCACACACACTTAGCCTCAAAACACACTCTACCTTCAACACACACACACACACACACACTTAGCCTCAAAACACACTCTACCTTCAACACAAACACACACCCTTCAACACACACACGTACATTTAGCCTAAAACACATTTTTTTCCTTCTACAAACACACACACACACACACACACACGCACACACACACACGCACACACACTTCAGTTCCTCCTCCACACGTGTCCTCATTTGTTCCTCCTCCAGTGTGCTGGTTGCGAGCACAATAACTGTGTGTGTGTGTGTGTGTGTGTGTGTGTGTGTGTGTGTGTGTGTGTGTGTGTGTGTGTGTGTGTGTGTGTGTGTGTGTGTGTGTGAATAATGCTGCTGTTGTTCTGCTGACGCCTTATGCCTGTTTGCTTCATTCAGACAGGAGTGTGTGTTTGTGTGCGTGTGTGTGCGCAGCAGAAGGGCCCGCAGCGCTGCTTTCTCATGCTAAACCTCAGCTAGCGTAGCGTCCGGTGCTCTGACACGCGCCTGTCCGATGAATTGGCGCGGGTGGTTTCACTCAGGTCCTCTGAGATGTGCAGGGAATATTGATCTAACACTTCTCTTTAGGTTTGTACACATAATGAAAGTTATTCAGCGCGTGCAGCGTTTTCCCCTCCGCTCGTTTCCTCTTATTGATCCGGACGGCCTGCTGAAACGCCGTTATTAAGTGTTTTTTAATGGAGTCCTTCTTTAAATCGCGTGCCGAGATAAAAGGAGAGCCGAGCGAGGGATTTGGAGAAACAAACGGCTGCGTTTGGAGGAGCTTTAACTGCGTTTCTGAGCTTTAGTCCGAGTACAGAGAGCATTAAACAGTTCAGAGGACATGCTTCATCATCATTTATATATACACACACACTACCTGACAAAAGTCTTGTTGCCTATCCAAGTTTTAGTAACAGCAAATAATAACTTGACTTCTAGTTGATCATTTGGTGTCAGAAGTAGTGTATATAAAAGGTAAAGCCTCCAGATTTTGCTTATTTGAGCACAATAAAATCTGATCATGTCTTGATGTTGACTGATTTGATGAGGACAGTAAGCTCTGACTCTGCTCAGACTAAAGTGTCATCACTGAACAGAAATATTGTCCAGTATAGAATATAAAGTCCTGCTGCAGTGGAGACAGAATGAATATTGTGTCTGACTCCATCATGAGCTTGGAGGACTGCATCCATACATCTCTGACATGACTCACATCACTGATTAATAAAGTCATCTGGAATGAAGAAGAAAGCGTTCCTGCAGGACTCCCAGAGCTCATCAAGAGTCTTTGTGTTCATCTTTAACACCTCCTACTGCATCTTATCCCAGACATGCTCAATAATGTTCATGTCTGGTGACTGGGCTGGCCAATCCTGGAGCAGCTTGACCTTCTTTGCTTTCAGGAGCTTTGATGTGGAGGCTGAAGTATGAGGAGCGCTATCCTGCTGGAGAATTGTCCCTCTCCTGTGGTTTGTAATGTAATGGGCAGCACAAATGTCTTGACACCTCAGGCTGTTGATGTTGATCATCCACTCTGCAGATCTCTCGCACACCCCCATACTGAATGAACCCCAAACCATGATTTCTCCTTCACCAAACTTGACTGATTTCTGTGAGAATCTTGAGTCAATGCTGGTTGCAGTAGGTCTTCTGCAGTATTGGTGATGATTGGGGGGCAACAGATGATTCAGCAGAGGAATCCACCTTCTGACACTTTAAATGATCAACTAGAAGTCAAGTTATTATTTTGGATCCACCACAGTACTTCTGTCAGGTAGTGTAAATATATATATATATATATTTGTTCTTAGTTTTTATTAAATGCATCTATGCCATTTTTATTGATTTTATTGTTAATTTAATTTTTATTATTTATGTTAATATTTTAGCAATAGTATTTTAAGCTTAACTGAAATTATTATTCTATTTAAAAATAAACATGTTTTTTTCTGCATTTCAGCATCAATGGATTCGTTTTTATTTAGTTTTAGTTCATTTGTTTTAGGGTAATTTTTTTTGGGACAAAAATATGGAACTACCAAAAATAAAACAAAAAACATAAATAATTAAAACTGTTAATTACAGAAAAAATATATTAAAATGTAAAAGATACGTGTGTAAACAGATAAGATATTTTGGTTTTACTCAGAAAATAACTGCAAATGAGAATTATAAAACAGAAGTTTTGTATATTTTATTTTACTTTACATTTTCAATTTATGATTTCAATTTTTGTTAAATCAAATTACTTATTTCTTTATCTTGCGTATATACAGTTGAAGTCAGAATTATTAGTCCCCCTGAATTATTAGACTGCTTGTTTATTTTTTCCCCCAATTTCTGTTTAAAGGAGAGAAGATTTTTCAGCACATTTCTAAACATAATAGTGTTAATAACTCATCTCTAATAACTGATTTAATTTCTCTTTTCCATGATGACAGTAAATAATATTAGACTAGATATTCTCCAAGACACTTCTATACAGCTTAAAGTGACATTTAAAGACTTAACTAGGTTAATTAGGGTAACTAGGCAGGTTAGGGTAATTAGGCAAGTCATTGTATAATGATGGTTTGTCCTGTAGACTATCGGAAAAATATATATCTTAAAGAGGCTAATAATATTGACCTTAAAATGGTATTTAAAAATGTAAAACTGCTTTTATTCTAGCCGAAATAAAACAAATAAAACTTTTTCCAGAAGAAAAAATATTATCAGACACACTGTGAACATTTCCTTGCCCTGTTAAACATCATTTGAAAATATTTAAAAAAGAAGAAAAAATTTCGAAGGGGGCGAATAATTCTGACTTCAACTGTGTGTGTGTGTGTGTGTGTATATATATATCATAAACCTGCCATTAAAGATTACTTTAGCCATTAGACTGTTTGCTGTTGCTTGCAGAGGCTCATGGGAACTGTAGTCATTCACAGCTGTAGATCTTCATGAATGTGTGTTGGAGTTTCTCTGCTGCTTGATTTATTTCATTTAAATCATGTCTGATTTGATCTCTTTTCAGTCTAGGAGATTTTTTTACAGGTGCAGTGGATGTTTTAGATCTCTGGAAAAGTGGACATTATTTATTTATTTATTTATTTATTTAATATTCTTATGTGCTTGAATAGGTTGAATATGTGATGCAGACTAATCAGCATAATGATCCGTCAGTCAGTGTGGAGGGTTGTGTGTTTATATGTTGTTGATCTGTGTGTTTCTGTGATGTGTGTTCTGATGTGTTCAGTTTATTTGCACTTTACTACTGCTGCTTTACTCTAACACTGCTGGAGGAGGACTTCTCTACCTCTCTCTCTCTCTCTCTCTCTCTCTCTCTCTCTCTCTCTCTCACTTTAGTTAATCTCTTTCATAGTTTTTTCTTTCTTTCTTTTTTTTTACTTTTTTTCTTTCTTTTTTCTTTTATTCTTCTTTTTTCTCTTTTCTCCTTCTTTTTCTTCTTTCTTTTGTTCTTCTTTCTGTTTGACGGATCTTCTCCTCTCTTTGCAAGCTGCCGCCGCTGCTCCGTCTTCTGCTTCAGGAGTGTTTCATTCTCCCTCAGTCAATGAAGGTATTCAGTCTGACTCAAGCTCTCTCTCTCTCTCTCTCTCTCTCTCTCTCTCTCTCTCTCTCTCTCTCTCTCTCTCTCTCTCTCTCTCTCTCCCCCATTCTCTCTGTTTTTATTCTTTAGCTGCTGCTTCTCCTGCTCATCTCTCTGCCTCGCGCTCTCAGTGCCTGTATGTGTGTATGTATGTATGTATGTATGTATGTATGTATGTATGTATGTATGTATGTATGTATGTATGTATGTATGTGTGTGTGTGTGTGTGTGTGTGTGCGTGTGTGCGTGTGT